CACACACGCACGCACGCACACACACACACACGCACACACACGCACACACACGCACACACGCACACACTCACACAGGCACACACTCACACACTCACACACTCACACACACACACACGCACACACGCACACGCACACGCACACACACACACACACTCGCACCTACACACACACGCACACGCACGCGCACATGCGCACGCACATGCACATGCGCACGCACGAACATGCACACGCACATACACACTCACACACAACCACGCCCACACAGCTACACACCTACACACCGCCGCACCCGCAAGCGCACGCGCACGCGCACACGCACACGCACACGCACACACGCACACGCACACACGCACACGCACACACGCACACACGCACACAGCACAACGCACACACGCACACACGCACATTGAGTCACACACACACGCACACACTCACACCACACGCACACGCCACCACACCACACACACGCACACACGCACACACGCACACACACGCCACACACCACACTCACACCACACACACGCACACGCACACTACACACGCACTCCACACGCACACGCACACGCACTCGCACACGCACCGCACACGCACACGCACAACACACGCAACGCACACGCCACGCACACGCACACGCACACGCACACGCACACGCACACGCACACGCACACGCACACACACACACACCCGCACCCGCGCACGCACACGCACACACACGCACACACACACACGCACACACGCACACACGCACACGCACACGCACCCGCACCCGCACCCGCACACGCACTCGCACCCGCACACGCACACGCACACGCACACGCACACGCACACGCACACGCACACGCACACGCACACGCACACGCACACGCACGCGCACGCGCACGCGCACGCGCACGCGCACGCGCACGCGCACGCGCACGCGCACGCGCACGCGCACGCGCACGCGCACGCGCACGCGTGCACCCGCACAGACGCACACCTACACATTTCACACATTTACACATTCACACATTTACGCATTCACACATTCACACATTCACACATTCACACATTCACACATTCACACTTTCACACACACACGCATTCACGCATTCACGCACACATTCACGCACACATTCGCACGCACTGTCCTGGGTCCGACCGTACCTGCTCGTCGCCGCCGCGGCTGGATTCGCCTCGAGCTCCTGGTCAGACCGCACCCCGAGAGAGGTCCGTGGAGTAGCGGTTTCGGTGTCGTTTCGCTCCCCGAGGAGGGCGCCCGCGACGAACCCGGGCGAAGCATTGGCTTTCCGTTGGCCCGGCTTCGTGTCCCCGCATGTCGCACGAGTTGGCCGCGGCCGCCCATTGAGTTGGGCATTCTCTTCTGCACGCGACTCGCCGTGCGCAGCCCCCCACTTGCGAAGCCTATCTTCATTTGCGCGCCAGTCTGCAACCTAGTCCACTACTACGGCGACGTACTCTGGCCAGTGAAGAAGCAAACGACAGCGTGTGGACACCCTTGCTGGGAGCCTGAAGGTTCCCAGATCTCACGGCCTCCTCTTCTTCGAATGCGTCTTCCGGCCTCCCCTCGTCCGTGCATGCGCGTCGGGCCATGGTGTGTTGGCCCCCCTGCCTCGGCGGGGGAGGCAGGAGCGGGTCAGGGAGGCGGAAGCCGGGGGGAGAAGGGGGTAGCAGGGTTTGGGCAGGAGGCGGGGAAGAAGGGGGAGGAGGCAGGGAAAACATAGGCAATGACGACGGCGCCGCCGACGACGACGCCGACAAGGACGCCGACGCTGACTCCGACGCCGACGCCGACGACGAAGGCCGACGACGGCGACGACGCCGACGCCAACGCCGACGCCGACGCAGCCGACGACGCCGACGACGCCGACGCCGACGCCGACGCCGACACGGATGCCGACGCCGACGCCGCCGACGCCGACGACGACGCCGACGCCGACGACAACGGCCGCCGACGACGACGACGCCGACGCCGACGACAACGAGGACGACGACGCCGCCGA